AGATTTTAATCTTCTTTCTACTCTTAGTCAATATGAAAAAATTGAGGAAAATATATCTAGAGTTACTTTGGATAAATTATATAATCATCTTTTTTTGGATTTAAATATATCAACTGATACAAAGACAAAGATGGTTTCGAATTGGAGTACAGAAAGTAATGACAAAGAAGTCAGGAGACTATCAATAGATCGCGCAAAAATAACTGAAATCGTCGTAAAGGAATGTAACGACACTTTTGGGTGACGTTCAAAAATATTTAGTTTTTGCTGGGGTATTCTCAGCCGTCGTCCAGAGTCGTGACAATAAATTTATATTTTTGCTGAGATGTAGTTTTAGAAGAATAGAACGTTGATTTAATATATTAATTATATATTTTATTTACTTCATAAAAGAAAATATTCAATCAAAGTTTAATCAAATAATTGCTGAATAAGCTATTTAAACATATGATAAATTATAATTCCAATAAAATATTATATTTATTTAATATAATTTATAATATTTATTTAATAATTAAAAATGTGCATCATCGTTGACGACGGCCACACAGAAATTATTACTGCTGGGGTAACTATGACCTTAATGTAGATTCATGTTTTCTGTTCACTGTAGAACTCGTTGACGAGGTTTTTACTTTTAGCTTCGGTTCGTTTCCTAAGAAGACTTCTGGCAGGACAGCCTGACGTCCTGGGTTTCCCTCCACTGTTGTAAAAAAAAACGGTTACTCTGTGCTGTGGAAGATAATCATTTGGCCGCATGAGCCAGGTTAAAAAAAAATAAAAATAAAACATATGACAAAGATATTAATTTCTAACTACTTTGGCTGAATGAGCCAGGTTTTGGCAGAATATGCCAGAAGACCGAATAGGCCAGTGTACTTGTCTCTTTATGAGTGAAAATTTAAGTCCTTGGTAAAATTTACCAGGAGGCCGAATGAGCCAGAGTACTTGCTTCTTCACTAGTCAAAACACAAGTCCCCTATCATATTAAATGTTCATTCTTTTATACCGAACATACCGGAGCTTTTTGGTGTAGCGCCCCGGTATTATTTGCTGTTGTTAACTTCGCCGTAAAGGTTAAACTATTCGTGTTATATTTTGTACTTCTTGTGTATTTTCATGTTTGCATGCTTTTTTTTTTATTTCGCCGGGGTTTCATTTGTTTACTTCGCGTAGTTCCAAGTGTATTTTTAATTAATAATTTAATTAAAACTTTATTATTTAAAAATAATAAAGTATTTTTAATTTAATAATTTTAAAACAAAAGTACATTAGATATATATTATGAAATATATATTTAATAGTATCTAAATAAATAATATCAAAAAAACAAATGTGAAGAAAATATTCGTAATAAACAAGTAATTTCATAAAATAAACAAATGGTGCCGGCGTGTTTTGTTTTGTTTTTGGCGGTGGATAACACAGGTCAACAAAAAAAATTTTTTTTTTTCCTAGATATGTTGTTGGGTGATCCTAGAGGTATTTTGCGTGCTGATTCCAAATCTGGACTTAGATTTTTTCTATCACGTCTAGTTTTCTTTAGGCAACCGGATTAACGGGTGATTCAAGGGGTTTCAGCAAATAAATCGTGAATTTAAAAAATGGTACTTACTTATGTTTTTCTCGAATATTGAGCATCTAGTAAGTCCCTTTTTAGTGCCCAGCAGTAATTTGCTAACATGTTAGTGAAATTTCCTTTGTAGCGTTTTTCCATGTGTAAAATATCCTGGTGAAAACGCTCACCATGTTCATCACTAAGGGCGCCAAGATTTGGTGGAAAAAAGTCCAAGTGAGAGTGTAGGAAGTGAAGTTTTAAAGACATATTGCAGCCCATTTTTTGGCATGAATCAATTAGATTACCCACCAGATCGCGATAATTTTCAGCTAACATATTTCCTAAAAAATGCTCAACTACATTTTTGAATGAGTTCCACGCGTTAATTTCTGTTGAACTCAATTGCTGTTGAAATTCCGAGTCCTTCAGCAGTTCTCTAATCTGTGGTCCAATAAAAATACCTTCCTTAATCTTTGCCTCACTTATTTTAGGAAATTTTTGCTTCAAATAAGTAAAACCACCACCATTTTTATCCATGGCTTTAACAAAATTTTTAAAAAGTCCTAATTTAATGTGCAGAGGTGGCAAAAGAATATTTTTAGGATCGACCAAAGGCTGGAAGAGGAAATTTTTGATTCCAGGAACGAGTGCTTTACGTTGTGGCCAATCTTTTTTCAAGTAATGCAATTTTCTGTCTCTCCTATCCCACTCGCAGTTGAAGCAACAATATTTCGTGTAACCAAGTTGTAACCCTAGTAAAATTGCAATAACTTTTAGGTCACCACAAATTTTCCACTTATATCTTTCGTAGTGAATTTTTTTTAAGAGAAACTGCATATTCTCGTAAGTTTTTTTCATATCAGTTCCATGGGCTAACGGTATTGAGGGAATTTCATTTCACGATGTATAAATCAAATTAATATATTTATTTCACAATACTTATATATATTTAATTTTATTATTATTTAATTATTATTTATTAATTCGTAATATTATTATTTATACATATTTATGAATCACGTTATTTATATACATATATTTACATCACGAAAATAATGTATACTATATATATCATATATAAATGAAATACCCAACGCTTAACCCAATCTGTCATACACTTTTCAAAGGCCCGTGAAGGTATGGCTTTTAGTTCCTTCGGCGAATTTTCTTTTACCGATTCAATCGACTCAAAACGCTTACCACGAAGGGGCAATTTGAGTTTCGGGAACAGAAAAAACTCGCACGGATCCAGATCTGGCGAATATGGTGCCTAAGCGATGACAGTGGTGCCGTGTTTGGTCAAAAAATCGCGTACAACAAGAATTTTCTATAGTAAAAATCGCTAAATGCACTTGAGGTAGTCTCCCATTAACAGCTGCTGTAAACAAACTAATTGACAGATGGCGCAAACTAATTGTATCATATGTCAAGAAAGGGTGTACCAACATAACAAAATAAAAAAAAATTTTTTGAAAAAGGTCTATTACTTAAAAAGTAGTTAACAAACAACAAAATCCGGATACTTTTTGAGCAGTAGGTAAATTACGACTTTATAGCAAAAATATACATTCAACTGTTTTGAAGAATCTAGACGTGATAGAAAGAATCTAAATACAGATTCGGAATCAGCACGAAAAATACGTCTAGGATCTCTTAACAATGTCTCTAGGACAAAATCTTTGTTGATCAGTGTAATCTTTCTGTTTGATTTGGTTTTATGTGTATAAAAGAATAAAAACTGTGCAAAGTGAGTGTTAAATTGTTTTGTATTTATTTATTTCGTAAATATATATTTTAAATAAATAAATGTGTTTTCTGTTGTAATTGTTTATTGTGTTTAATTGTTGTTGTGTTTAGAATTCAAATACAAGTTTTTTTTCATTCATAAATTGTAATAAACAAGAAATTCATTATTTTTCCTTTATCGCATATTTAAGATTTTGTACATTGCATGCATCGATGCCCACGGCACGCTGGAACGGAGAATCGCAGGTAATGTCCATGTGATTTATGATAAAATATCTTTATTCAATTTCATATTTTTCGGATAAATCCATTGCAGTTTTCTTCACGTGAGTGTTCTTATTTTTACTATGTGTAGAGGTGGTGGTTAGGTGACATTCATACTTTCTTTTTCTCTTGTTCTTGATATATGTGACATAGAAATTTACTGTGCAAATTTGTATCGTCACAGGAAATTGAAGAGTTTGTATACAAACATACTCAAAACATTTTAAATCATTTCAAGTTGAGCGATGAATATATGAAAATACGTCCCACAAAATGGCATGAAGATTTTAGTTTTATTCAAGTTAAGAAAACGCTTTTAAGCTCAAAAGTAATAAATTATACGACAGAGCAAGGAGTGAAACTAATGCTGGACCTTAGATCAATTTTACCAAAAATGAAATCCAAAAACAGTACATTTTAAAAATTGTTAACGGTTATCGCCGACGTTTTCCAAATTCTAATAAAGGTGCTTTGTTCCAGTAAAATAATAAAAATTATGTCGAAGAAAACTAGAATTAGTACGTTTTTATTGAAGAAATATTAAATTATAGCAGTTTTTGTAAAGCTGAAGCGGAAAATTACATTCATAGCACTTGCAAACCTAGCAATCGAGTGATTTCAGCTAATTTTTTCTTTTATTCAATAACTATTAGAAATACAGAAAAACTTTGTATGAGTGAATTGTTTATTTTTAATAGATCTATAACTTTTGCGGAGACAGTATTTATATAAAATTAAATGTGTCTGAGATATAAGCAATCAAATATAAATTTTATGAAAAAAATGGTTATTTTTCCATCATTGGGGCTCTTGGGGCGCAAGTTCCACTTATCCAATTGTACTAAAATTTTACACAGATTATTTTTGTAGTAAAATGAACCGATTTGGGTTCATAAAACTTGTGACATTTAAATAAAACGAAGTTGAAATATAATTGAAGGGCTACGAATAAATGAATGAAACCGTGGCAACAGTACAACAAGTATGGCAACCTAAAAAATATCAAATTGTCACTCTTGATGAAAACAAGACACCTGGCAATGCTGAAAATATAAAACACATTTAATGATTAATTGTTAAGGTTCGATGAGAAAAGCAGTATTGTATTTTGTTAAGTAATTGTATATTAAGAATAAAAATAGTCAATAATAACGTCCAAAGTGGTGACTCCGACGCGCAAAGTGAAAAATTTACAGAACTAATTTTCTAAAAGTGTAAAGTAACATTAGTTTTAGAAACGCTTAACAGCATTCACTAAATCTATTAACGGTCTTATCCAACACGCACATTGTCATCACAAATATCAGAACAAGAGAACTTGGAACAACTAAAGTGGTGACTCCGTTAGAAAATCAAGTAAAAACTCTACAAAGTAGGGCATCTTATGCAAGAGTACACGCGCAAACTGCGTTCCAGACAAGTACGTAACAACATGACGATGAACGCAGAACAAACTGCAAATACACAAGTGGACTCCACAGAATTAAATATGAAACATATTGTGAGAGTCCCGAATTTTAACAAAATAAATCTAACGGTATGGTTTGTACAAGTGGAACGAGTTTTTCGTCTAAAAAACATTCGAGACGATATAGACAAGTTCAATTGGGTGGCAGTGAATCTGGATGCAGATATCGTGATGGTTGCTGAAGATTTAATTACGAATCCCTCAACAAATAATAAATATGAAACACTGAAGACACGTTTGTTTAGAAAATTTGCAGAATCACCCGAATCCAAGTTGCGGCGCCTACTTCAAGGTGGAGATACTGCGGGTATGAAGCCGTCGGAAATACTTTCGAACATAAGACGTCTGGCACCGGATCCCAATAGCGAACAAATCATTCCCACGCTTTTTCTCAGCGAAATGCTCAAATCGATTCGTCCGGTATTGGCAATTAGGGAAGAGGATGATCTGAAAAAACTAGCCAAATTAGCTGATAAAATTCTGGAGGCGTTAACAACAAACGCAATGTATATGTGTGAAGTATCGCCACAGCCTACGCAAATCGCGGCAACGGTGTGCAGTACGGCACAGAATGATTTGTACACAGCTGTTCAACAACTTACTGACCAAGTTAAAAAGCTGCAAGTTGAAGGTAAACAACTCAGAAAAACAACCACGAGTCGCAACGGTTCTCGATCGCGCTGGCCTTTAAGCGATGTCAACGGTCAACAGCGACATCATGACAATTTGTGTTACTACCAGTTTGGGGACAGTGCCACCAAGTGTAAGCCAAGCTGCTCACGATGGGCACCGTTAAACTAAAAAAGCTGTCGTCAAGCACACTGGTTAACGGCAGTAGCAAACAACTTGACCACATAACCAGTGATTCATCAGTCGCAGAAATACAACCATTCATATGGTAAATAGTGAACGTCTTTTTGTCGTCGATCGCAGATCATGTTTTCGTTTTTTGGTTGACTCGGGCTCAGTTGTATCAGTAAGGCCACGGCATTTGGTGAAATTCACAAGGAGAGCTCCAACTATATGCAGCGAACCGAACTCTCATTACCACATTTGGCAACAACACAATGGAATTAGACCTAGGTTTACGAAGATCATTTAGGTGGCAATTTATCATCGCAAATGTCGAAGTTGCTATTATTGGTGCTGATTTCTTAAACCGTTTTCATTTGTTAGTTGATCTAAGAAGCAAACAACTTATAGACATGACGACGAAGCTTAACACACGAGGTGATCTTTCAGTTTCTCCGCCATCAACCATATCTACAATAGACGAAACAGCCAAGTTCAGCAAGCTGCTCAAAGAAATCGTTGATATTACACGACCAGTGTTGAAACAGTCACTTCACGACACTAAAAGCATGTGGTGACTCATCAAATTGAGACAACAGGCAACATTGTGTTTGATCGTCCCAGAAGGTTATCTGGACAGAAACTTGCTGTTGCAAAAGCCGAAATCACTTTACTACTGTTGTCAAAAAGTCCATGGGCAAGTCCTCTACACATGGTGGCGAAAAATAATGGTATGCTTGTGGCGACTATCTAAAGTTGAACGCAATAACGATACCGGACAGGTATCCTATCGCTCACGTGCATGATTTTGCAGAAAAATTACACAACAAAACAATGTTTTCAGCACTCGACTTGGTAAAAGCATATTACAAAATCCCAATGGCAGAGGACGACATTCAGAAAACTGCCGTGAGCACATCTTTTGCCCTGATTGAGTTCCAGTAAATGCCGTTCGGATTTAAAAACGCGACGCAGACGTTCCAACATTTCATGGACCAAATTTTTCGAGGCCTTGATTTCGTGTATTGCTATATTGACGACATTCTCATAGCTTCAACGTCTATAGAGGAACATGAACGTCATCTCCGAACAGTGTTTACCATTTTGCGCCAACATAGACTCAGGATAAATGTCAACAAATGTCAATTTGGTAAATCGGAAATTCTCTTTCTGGACACACGGTCAGCAAGAATGCCATTAAACCACCACAGGACCGCATTGAAGCAATAGTGAATTACAAACAACCTGACACAGTCAGTGAGCTAGCACGTTTTCTAGGTGTTCTGAATTACTAACGGCGTTGCATACCACACTTATCGCAACATCAAGCACAGCTTAGTGATCTGTTACGAAACATTAAAAAAAATAACAAACGAAAAATCTTTTGGACTCCCGAAAATTTTGATGCGTTTAGCAACTGTACACACAGCGTTGCGAATGCTGCACTAATTGTACATCTATCACCTGATGCTGAGCTGGTACTTATCTGTGATGCATCTGACGTTGGTATTGGCGCTTGCCGTAGAACAATATGACCAGGGCACTTGGCTACCACTCGGGTTTCTTTTCAAGAAAACTCTCAGCAAGTGAAAAACATTACAGCGCATATGATAGAGAATTATTAGCAATCTATAGCGCCATTCGTTTTTTCAAAACATCTCCTAGAGGCAAGAGTTTTCGTCATTAAAACGGACCACAAACCGCTGATATATGCTTTCAACCAGAAACCAGAGAAGGCGTCACCTCGGCAGCTCCGACATCTTGATTTCATTTCCCAATTTTCAACAACCATTGTACACCTATCTGGGAGTGACAATGCGGTAGCAGATGCCCTTTCTCGTATTTCAGCTGTATCGCTGCCAACTGCTGTCAATTTATTAACCGTTGCAGAGGAACAACAAAACGATCAAGAATTAAAAACGCTGTTGCACGGGGAAACATCTTTGAAGCTGCAAGCAATTGTTTTTAGCGACAAAAATTCCTTGTTCTGCGATGTGTCTACAGGAACAATTCTGCCATACGTGCCAGTATCTTTGTGTCATAAAGTTTTCGCATCGATATACGACATGCCACACCGCAGTGGAAGATCCACTCTGCAACAGATAAAACAAAAATACGTCTGGCCTTCCATGCGAACTGATATAATTGCATGGGGAGGAAATTGTTTACCCTGTCAACGAGCAAAAATATACAGACACAATACTTTTCGGTCAATTAAAATCGACATGCCAGACAACCGTTTCGACCATGTACATATCGACATCATTGTGATGCCAATGGATGAAGAGTATCGCTATTGTTTAACAATGATTGATCGTTTTTCAAGGTGGCCTGAAGCTATACCTTTAAAAGACATTACTGCAAACACTATAGTATCTGTTTTTTGTTCAAACTGGGTGGCGAGATTTGGATGCCCGCAAACCATAACAACTACAATTCGAATCAGAATTTTTCAAAGCTCTGACAAAAATGATAGGAGCAAAACACGTCCACATCACGTCATACCACCCACAAGCAAATGGTGTGATTGAACGCTGGCACCGTTCCTTAAAAGCAGCACTAATGTGTCATGAAGCAGAATTCTGGATAGATTTACTACCAACAGTCCTGCTAGGCTTACGAACGTGTTTCAAGGAAGATTTACAAACTTCAGCTGCTGAGATGCTGTATGGTTCCTCGATTCGACTACCGAACGAGTTTGTTGACGACGACCAACAATGCACCAGCCCGCAGATGATCATAGAGGAGTTTCGCAAACACATGCGATTAGTGCGACCGATTCCCGCAACACATCACCGGAACAATGTTTCATTTGTGTTGAAAAACCTCTACAACTACTTACACGTCCTGCTTAGGACTGATTCTGTTCGTCGCCTGTTGGAGCCACCGTACACTGGACCATTTAAGGTACTCAGTAGACCAACTGACCGAACGTTCGTTATTGATATGCAGGGAAAGGAGACCACAGTTTCAGCAGAAAGGCTCAAACCTGCTTTTATTACTAAAGAAGTAGATGTGAAGGAAGTGACGAAAAACCTACACATGCACGTAAAGAAAAACCAGGTGAGGTTTTCACAATGGAGAATACTAGAAGGGGCGTACTGTAGCAACAGTACAACAAGTATGCAACCCAAAAAAATATCAAATTGTCACTCTTGATGAAAACAAGACACCTGGCAATACTGAAAATATAAAACACATGTAATGGTTAATTGTTAAGGTTCGGTGAGAAAAGCAGTATTGTATTTTGTTGAGTAATTGTACCATATATTAAGAATAAAAATAGTCAATAGTAACGAGTAACGAAAAAACAACAGCTTAAACAACGAAAACCCTTATAAAAATGAGAGAAACTAAATTTGAAGTGGTTCAAAATTATACCAGTTTGATAGTTGACAAAGTTTAACTGTCAATCAGGAGTCAAAAGATTTATTTGATAATAAAAATAAATAGAAAGACCATGTCGGAGTACAACAAGAAGAAAGCGGGAAGTCTTAACAAATTCTAGTAGGTTTAGGTGAGAACCATAATACAAAACGACTGGACTAGTAGCACCACATGGTTCCATTTTTACTGCAATGGCTCTTATTATTAAACTTGGAACCGGCCAGACTCCATCAACACTAGTTGTTAAGAATTCTATCTTGAGTTACTTCTCACAGTAGTCCACTCCAAATTAAAATAAATAACACTAATTTAGTTTTAGCACATCAATTTTATTTATTTATTTTTTTTAAATAAAACAAACACTACTGGTATTGCTGCTACTGCTGCTGTTGATGTAACTTTCGCTGTTGCTGCTACTGCAGCTTCAGTTGTTGATGTTTCAGTTGCTGTTGTTTCAGTTGCTGCTGTTGTTTCTGTGACTGCTGTTACTGTGACTGTTACTGCTATTACCGTTGCTGTAATACGAGCGCTGGGGTTTCTGCGAATGAATATCGAGGATTCTGTGGACGGATGTCGTGAAATGGCGCGTAGTTCTTCTCAGGCTACGCTACGGAATATTCATAATATGTCCGTGCGAATTCTTTACTCCTCCAAATATGTGTATAATAATTTTATACCCTTTGCCGTAAAACCAACGCAGGATTTTAATAGTTATACATATATTTCTTATTAATATATATGGTTCATAGACATATATAATTTATATCCTTTGCCGTAAAAAACCAACGCAGGATTTTAATAGTTATATTTCTTATGGATATATATGGTTCATAGACATGTATAATTTTATATCCTTTGCCGTAAAAATCAACGCAGGATTTTAATAGTTATATTTCTTATGGATATATATGGTTCATAGACATATATAATTTTATTTTATATTGTTGGCGTAATACCACCTTGACGAATGCTCATAAACTCGTGCCTCTTCAACAATTGTGCCGTCTTAAATATCCATCCGCCGGAGCTTTCTTCTAGCGTATTTTTCCGTTGGTTTACCTGCTGGGTTTTGCCAGGTAAACCACTGTGCTTATGATCTCACCGTGTAGCCGCTTCGTTTTTGTGTTTTGTTTTGTCAGGTTTTTTCCCATTAATACATTTTAAATTATTTTTTTTAATAGTATTTTAAAAAAAAAAAATGCAAGTGATAAATATATTTATAAAAAAAACATGAATGTGAAAAAAAAATATAAGTGTATAAACCTTAAGTGTAATTAATTAAAAGAATTTCAATGATTTTGTATTAAGCCGGTACTGAAGTTAATTTGTTTTGGTGGTAGTTTTGTTTAAATTGTAATATTTACAAAAGAAATAAATTAAATATTACTATCTATGTAATACCGTAACAAATAATAAACAATACTAGGAATTCTCCTGATGAAGGCAAAAGCAAATTTGCCGAAACACGTGTAGAGATACACAAAAAAAAAATCAAAAATAACCGCAATAGTAATTATCCAAATAGAAAACCAATAGAAAACTATAACGAAGTGCTGCTTGTGATGGGTTTTTGTTTGTAAAAAGAAACGTAATCAGTGAGCGTATTTGTTGCATATTTGTTT